ATACCACAGAACATGTGATATTTCATGTGCGGTATCAACATTTACTTTACAAAATTTAACATTTGGATATTGCCTTGAGTACTGTTCAAATATTGGGCTAATAAAACGACATGGGCCACACCACTCTGCATAAAAATCAATTATACAATCATTTGCTGAAATGATTTGTTGAAACTCTTGAAGAGAATTTATATGAATAAGAGACATAATTATTTAGTTTTTCGAAATAGTTCAAAGGAACTAAAAACAAAATTGAAAAGAATTTTATTAAAAATAGAAGATTTAAATAAATTTTTAATTTAAAAAAAAAAATATATATGAATTAATTCATCATTTTTGGTCATTATTCTACAAGAGTGTATTCTCAAAAACAATTCTCCTAAATATCATAATTTTAGTTGTTTAACTGTTCGTTAAATTTTTTGATATTAATTATTAAATTAACATAAAAATAAAATTTCTTTTTTTTTATTTAATTAGTTCTAATAAATTATATATTTAATATAGAAAACAATTATTGTCCAAATACGTGTTATGCATAACAAACAATTGAGTTAAAAATGTAAGAGTGTTTCATTGATGAGGTATGTTACTTTTTAGTAAAAAAGTTGAGAAAATAGAAACTCTAATAATTGTTTTTTGAAAAGATAATAAAATTTATTTTTTCTTAGAGTAAATCTTTAGAGAAATTTTAAATGAACAAATCAAATTATATTTTGAAAAAAAACAAATGAAAAATTCAAAAATGAAGATTTATAGAAACCCTTACTATTTTTTAAATTCCATATCCAGTTCAAACTATTAGAATTCTATTTATCATTTTCTTATAGTAAAAAAGGTTTTAAAAGGGATTAAATTAAAACTGATAAAGAAAATAAGATGTCAGCTATCCTTGATCAAATTGAATTCTACTTCTGTGATTTAAATCTTATTCAAGACACTTTTTTGAAAGGGGTTATTGAGACTAGCAATGGTTTTGTTACTATTGATACTTTAATGGGATTTGTTAAAGTTAAAGAGTTAACAGAAAATAAAGAAGAAATTATCAATGCCCTCTCAAAATCTTCTTTCCTTGAACTCTCAGAAGATAAACAATCTGTCAAAAGAAAGACCCCTCTTCCAACTGAAGAAGAAATTAACAAACGATCACTTTTTATTAAAGGGTTTGGCAAAGATGCTACAAGACAAGAAATTATAGATGCCCTTAATAAATTTGCACAAGTTGAGTGTATTAGAATGAATTATGGAAGAAATAAAGAAGGACAATTTTATCTTGGAAACGCTTTTGTTGAATTTGTAACTGAAGCTGAAAAAGATAAATTTATCAACTCCAAACCAACTTTTAAAGAAAACCCATTGGAATTTAGACCACGAGCTGAGAAAATTATTCAAAAACAAAAGAATAAAAAAGTATCTCAAAGAGTTGAGTATAAAATTGTTGTTTCTATTAAAGTATGTAATAGAGATTTAAAAAATGCTATCAAGAACAATGAATTACTCAAAACAAATGTTGTAAAATATTTTGTTGATAAACCTCTTTCTCCTGTTGAAGAAAAGAATGAGGAGATTACTCAAAAAGAAGAAGAGACCACAAAAGCTGAAGACAAAAAAGAAGAAACTACAAAGGGTGAAGAAAAGAATAAAGAGACTGTAAAAGCTGAAGACAAAAACGTAGAAAATAAAACTACTCAAAAAGATGAGAAAAATAAAAAAGAAAATGATGATAGAACAAAGAACGTTTTCGTTGCTGTAAAAGTTAATAATGATTTAGAACAAGTAAAAGAGGCTTTACAGCAACTTAAATTCTATGGTAAAGAGGTTATCGTTTCTGAGTGTACACCAGAAGAAAGTCAAACTTTCAAATCATTTGCTGTTCCAGGAAAGAGTAAACCTAAATTTTTTGGAAAGAAAGGAAAAAAAGATTGAAATTGGTTAAAAGTGATTAAATAAATTTATTTAAATAAAGTTTAATGTTATTTTTGAATGAAACAATAAAGAATAGAATATTTATGACTCAACAACGATTTTGACTTCTTTGACTGGAGAAGAGGGTGGTAATGATGTATGAACAGCCTTATTTAATTCCTCCCTAATTCTACCAAAGTCTTCTGGGCGAATTCTGTTTTTCAGAGTGTTTCCCCTGTACATAAAGAAACCGTCTTTGCGTTTCTTCTTTTCTTCTTCACGACGTTTTCTTTTTTTAGTTCGTTCAATTACTTTGCCAATGGTACAAGCATTACAAACAGCAAAACTTAATAATGGAATATATACCAGTGTTAAATAGAATAAACCAACACCAAACCAATAATTGTTTGGGCTTAGTGTTAATCCACCAATTTTTAAAGCATCTTGGTCTGAGTCCAACAAAAAAAAGTATTGAGGAAGAACAAGTCCACCTCCATTGACGGCAACTGCAATTGTACATGAAAGAGCAAGAGAAACAGCAAACTAGTTGATGAGAAATGGAATGAAAAAGTAACAAGAAATAAAAACAAACGAATATGAAGAAA